TGTAACATAGCTTTTCACTATACTGTTACTCTTTATGAGTTGGAACATGTGGTGTTGCTAGGTTCATATTTTTTAATGTATTTTCTTTTATCATTTGTATTTAAAAATTGGTGGATTAGATTTATTTAATATTTATTTCTTATTTTTTTTATCTAATATTTTTATCTTTTTAGGGGTAATTTCGATCGATCAAAAATAATTTGGATCGAATAATTTAAATTTAAATTCTAATTTTCGTAATTAAAGACAACCGATAAATTAATTGGTATCGAAAGGGCGGTTCAAGGGTGCTAATCCTTGATCGTAACCGACTCCCGAACCCGACACGTTTCTGGTGTAACACATATAAGGTAGGATGGTGTCTGACCCACCTAAATTCGTTTTAAAGTGGTCGGTGGCGACTCCGATTCATTTAATCTAAGTCGAAGCCCAATTCCTGGGCCTAATCGAAAGACGATGGTGACAACAGCGTTAACGATGAACATCATTAAATTATTTATAAAACATTAAATTTAAAGTAATAAGCATATAATTATAAATTAACTAAAAATATAAATGTAATTTAATTAAAATATAATAATAATAATAATAATAATAATAATAATAATAATAATAATAATAAAACATTAGTTTTTAGGGTAAACTATACCATTGACCACCTAACTATTTACCCCTTTTACTTTAACCACTAATTTTTCAATTTTGTCAATCAGGTCACCTAACCATTTAAATCTTGTGAATCAAGCCACCTGCAGTTAAATATTAACGGAGGAGATGATGTGACGGTTAATAAAATTTGTATAATTACACATTTAGTCCTCGTTACTTACATATTCTATGAATTTGGTCCTAACTTTTAATTAATTCAATAAATTTAATCCTCAATCAGACGGTGACATGTGCCACTATGTGATTGGATGTATTTTCTTAATATTTTTATTTAATTGAATGAATAGAAAATAAATTGAATAAATAACCGTTGCTAGTAGAGTTTAAACCCAAGTTGTGAGGAGATGAAGCAAATGCCCCAAGTAGGACTGTAAATGAGACGAGACAAATCGCGAGCTACTCGAGATCAACTCGGTCAAAGCTTGATCAACACTCGAATCGAATGAACTCGACTCGAATTCTTAACGTGATAAAATAACCTACTTAATACTCGACTCGAAAAGTTCTCGAGCTACTCGAAAAAATGTTATATTATAATTTTAGATTTTTTAAAATTACAATATTAAAAATACATTATTGATAATTATAATTTTTTAAAATATATATTTTTAAATGTAATATAATATTTGTGTAGGTTCAAATTCGAGTTTGAGTTTGAGCTTGAATCGAGCTCCTGAATTTTTTTGAGTTCGAGCATTTTCGAGTTCGAGTCGAGTTTTAATATCATATTTTGAGTTAGAGCTGAGCTTGAGAATTTTTAACTCGCGAGTTTTCGAGTAAAGTCGAGCCTAATTTTAAACTTTTTGAGTTTGAGTCGAGGTCCACAATACTCGAGCTCGGCTCGGATCGTTTATAGCCCTAGCCCCAAGCATTGGGCCACACCATTTAAATGACAAACCTATCACGACATAATATACATAGTTAATAGCAATAAAAAAGGGAAAATGACCTAATAAGAACCCCAACAAGGAATAATTGAATAATACGATAATATGATATATATACACAAATATTTTAATTGATTAATATGTGAATGTATTTTTTTATTTTAAATTATTTTTATAAAAATTAAAAAATAATTTTAATATATTAAAATTGAAATATAACGAAGTGCTTCGTTGTCTTAGAGTTTTCATAATAGTTCGTATGCATTGATTTGTTTATATCCCGGTTAGAGTAAGAATTTTATATTTTATTATTTATTCATTATATATTTGAAGAAAATGTTAGGGGAAACTTGATTTTATTGAATTAGTTTAATTTTAATATAGAGTAATTAAATAAGATTAGAATCCAATCGACATTATAATATTTTAAAAAATAAGATATGATACATTTTAGTTCAAAAAATTAGAATAATGAAGATAATTTATTAACTTAAAATATGTAAAATGATACATTTCAATTATAACATATTAAATTCACTTTTATTTTAATTTTTGCATTAAATGTGATTTAAAATATAAATAATACATATTTATTTATTCATCAATTACAATATATATATATATATATATATTTTCATACTATTCAATTATTTAATGTTTGAGTCCTTATAAGGTCATTTATTACCATTAAATATATTATAAATTATATAGATTATGTTATGAATACTAGGCAAACTTAGTGGTCCAACTTAGTGGTTAGGGTGCTCAAATTTTCAAATTGGATCCTAGGTTCAAATCTTATCAGATATGGTTATTGATTTAATTTATTTTCCATTCATTTAATTGGTAACATGTGACACCATTTGATTGGATGGAAAATTTATTAAATAAAAATATTTAAAAAAATCCAATCACACAGTGACATATATCATCATCGATTGAGAATTAAATTTATTGAATTAAATACAAGTTAAGACCAAATTAATAGAATGTGTAAGTAATGAGGACTAAATGTATAATTTCACAAATTTTATTAACTGCAACGTCATCTTCTCCTTTAATATTTAACGATAGGTGGCTTGATTGACAAGATTTAAATAGTTAGGTGAACCGATTGACAGAATTAAAAAATCGGTAGTTAAAGTAAAAGGGGTAAATAGTTAGGTGGTCAATGATATAGTTTATCCTAAAAACTAATGTCTTATAAATATTGTGTTTTAATTAAATTATATTTAGATTTTAATTAATTTATAATTATATGTTTAATACTTTATAATTTAATATTTTATAAATTAATTTAATAGTGTTCATCATTAACGGTGTTCATCTCTGCTCGTCGAACATGACAGTATCATTCTAATAGAAAATAAAAAAAAGTTTGAGGGATCTCGGTCCATCTCTATGTAACTGTATAAATAAACATCGCCCCCAAATTAACAAAGAAGTTTTCAAATTCTTACACCTGAATCAAGAAGATGGAATTCGAATAGATTGCTCTTTTCAGAGAAAGAAATAGAAGAAGAAAGAGAAGATGGGTACATAGTGGTGAGAGTAAATTTATGGGATTATATTTAAGGATGATATTGTTACGCTCGACGAGCATGAATGAATACGATTAACGAGGAGTATTATTAAATTAATTTATAAATTGTTAAATTATAAAATACTAAACGTATAATTATAAATTAGTTAAAAATTTAAATGTAATTTAATTAAAATACAATATTTATAATATATTAGTTTTTATAATCTTATTTTAATTATAATTAGATCACATATTAATTTGGGAAATTTATAAACCCTAATTTATTTTCGTAGCTTTGAAGCACCCGCCACCACCGCTGCCGTCGCCACCGGTATCATCTTTCACCACCGGTGAACGACAGACTAAATTGACGGCGAAAGATGATACGGTGACAGCGGCAGTGACGGTGGTGGCTACGACAACGTAGCGGCGGAGGGAGCTTCAAAATTATGAAAATAAATTAGGGTTTATAAATTTCTCAAATTAATATTTTATAAAAACTAATGTTTTATAAATATTGTATTTTAATTAAATTACATTTAAATATTTAACTAATTTATAATTATACGTATAGTACTTTATAATTAATGTTTTATAAATTAATTTAATGGTGTTCATCGTTAACTGTGCTCATCTACACTGAATGAGCACCGTAGAATTTTTCTATATTTAAACACTTTAAGAAGTGCATATCCAAGTAATGTAAGATACTTCTTTTTATTACCAGCAATCTCTTATTAATAAAAAGAAGTTTTTTTTCCTTTAAAAAGAGAAAATAACAACAATGAAATTAATCGATCAAGTATTAGTATTTGTTAGATTTGAAATGAAATGGGTGATTATTCTCCTAAAAAAATGAACGAATAATAAATTTGTTAAATGACTGTTGGATCCAATTGAGTTTCATGATAAACCTATAATATACCTCAAAATCCTTGTAAGTACTCTAAAAAGTCGACATGATATCTTTTATGAAAAATGGTTACTCCTTTACACTTGTATGGATGATTTCACTAATTATATCTCTATAAACTAAATTTAAAATTTATTAAATAAGTTAGAAAATATACAATAATTGATACAAAATAATTATTTTACTAATGACCAAAGAAAAACTATATGAAATCGTGGAAAACTTTCTCCTATAGTAACATTTGCAAGCATTCATATGCATTTTTTTATTAAATAATGCAAACGTTTGAATGAAGGGACTTCTTGTAGAATACTTGGGGTTAAAAATTAAACGAACATTAACAACTTCGTACCAAAATAATTCTTCAAAAAAGCAAAAACTTTGTAAAATGTAAATGCATAATATTAAAGATAGCTCAAACTTTATCAAAATGATCATTTTGATCCATTTTTTTAAAATATTTTAAAATTCATTTGATTGAATAATTACTTTAACTCTTATTCTTTGTTTTGAAGCATTTTGACCCCAATATTTCATTTTATAATAAAAAAAACCCCTCTATTTTGAAGTATTGATCATTTGTTAACTAACAGTTTCGATCCACATAAGAGCCTTTCTACCTAAAATGAAATGTCAGGGGTCAAAATATTAAAAAAAAAGGGGCCAAAATAACTATTTAATCAACATAAGTCTTTTTTGACATTATGCCAAATATAAATATATATAAAAAAATCCACCCCCACAATTAAGCTCAATTACCCGAGCTTCCAAATGTTGAGTTTCCACACATGAGATCGAGTGAAGGACAATGAGCCATTGAAGGTTTTAACAATGGCAGCTCTTGCCCTGGTTCGAATCTGTGGCCAAGAACGAGCTTGATCCCAGACTACTTTATTCTCTTATTTTGAGATGTAAGTAGTAGTAAAGTATGGTAATGTAACATTATTTCGAATTTCAACTATAATCAGATAGGATTCGAGAAATCAAACTTTTATTGACACAAGGAAACAGAAAGACCATTCATATTAATCATCAATTGCATATATCTATGATTCATTGATGGAAAATCTGTTTCTGAAAAGCATAAGCTAAACTAAAATTTATAATCAAACATCCAAAACATAAGATAGCGTCTCCCACCAATTCAACCAATCACAAAAAAAGAAATCTCTGAAATGTGGAGAGACATGGAAACCATAATGAAACATGATCAACAAAAAAGAATTTTCCAATTTTCATTCAAGATGCCAAAAATAAGCAAATGTGTTTTAAAATACTCGACATTGTATCACCACCCATTTGTCTTCACGCATAGTTCAACCTGAATATGTCATTCAACACATAGAAGCTTCCTTGTGGTGTTGGCATCAAATGAAACATCTGGGAGCAAAATGCAAGACAAAGATAATGAAAACGTATATAAGTTTAGCTCCAATGCGAACAATTGGTGGATGATAAATCCTTTAGTTGTCTGAACAGAAGATGAAAAACGTGCTCTAAGGAGCAAAACAAAACATGTTTCCGCATAAATAATGCCAGCAACATAAATCAGTGAACAATCAACACAGATGAAAACGTTTATAAGTTAGCTCCAAATGAAGGAAAGACATAAACCACAAGGAAAATCATCAATGTCTCTTGGTGAAGAGAGGAGGTGTCAAAGTATATTATCTTTTATAACCTGCAGTGTCCCAAGAAACAAAATCGAGAATGATGGTATATAATTGTTCAGTGTGCAACGAGAGCACCCTCCTCCACTTAATCATGCAAAAATCATAAGTAAAATAAATAAATAAAAGAGCATTGGCAAATGATGCTTAGCTTGGCATAATAAACACCATGAAACGGAATAAAGCTCTTGAATGCAGTCTACCTAATCATCATACAGTTACTTACATATTATGCAAAACTAAGGCTCACGGCATGCTTAAGGCAAGAGGGTAGGAATACTGAGGAGCATAGCGTACAATAAGTGATGATTATGAAGATGTAAAGTGCAGTCCAGGGCATAAAAATGCAGCAGGTTCTTTGGAAAGATGGTAGATCCAAAAAAAAATCCAAATCTTTCCAAAACGTATTCATGGCACAATTATATGAAATCAGGTATCTAGCCTAAATAACACTTATATTTAATACAATTAATGTAGATTCAAAATTAACGAAAAACGAGCAATCCCTGGAAAAGTAATCTTGTTATCTTAAGCATATCCGATGAGCACTAAGGGGATATAAACATCACAGTTAAGACCACTATTAAGATCCCATTGTAAACATTTCAATTCCCAGTTCAACTTGCGTCAGATCAAAACAATGAAACATCAACACAGGATCCATTAATAATTGCATCGCGAAATTGACACGAAATGTATACTCGATGGAATCAACAGTGACAACATAGATTAGCCGTAGACCGATCAGAGAAGTAAACATTAAAGTCCTAACAGAAGAAAATTGAAATAATGCAGAGGCTATGAAAAATTACCTGGCTGAACTTGAGAGCATGCTGTTCGCCGGCGAGTTGGAGGTTACCACTGACGAAGACGAGCATGCCGCCGGAGCCGGAATGCTGGCAATCGACGGTGGTGATGTTGTGCTTACACTGCTGGAAAGGAAGGCTGGTGAGCTTAGCGACGATGTTCTGAGAGCCCTGGATCTTTTGACCTTCGAAGGTCAACATGGAACCTTCCTGGTAGAGATTTGCTAAACCGGCCCGGTTCGCATCGAATGTGGAGTAGTAGTGCTCAACGAAGGCCTTCGCTACTGCATCTGGATCCATTTTTCTTCTTTTATTTAAAGAATTTGGGCGGCTGCTTCAAATTCACGAGACGAAAGAGAACAAAGCAGCTGACAGATAAATTAATGAAGAATTGAGAGGCGACTGGCGAGCGAAGATAGTTGAGAGGGTTTTCTTTTCTTTTCTTTTTTACTAATTTATAGGATGGTCGATCTAACGGTTCATTTTGAATCATAAAAGTATCAAACAGTAGCTGCCTGCGTTTTCATTTTGGGTAAACTACACCACTCTTCAGTAATTTATTGTTTCTTTTCTATTTTGGTCATAAAATTAATTTTAGGTAAAATATCGATTTGGTTATTTGGTCACCCATTTATTTCTATATTTTCATTTTGGTCATTAAATTATTTTTCTTAAAATTATTCCTATAGTTACATTTCATTTCTATTTTGATCATCCGTAGTTCGATTTGATTAAAAAAATAGTATATAACATGTTACAATAATAGTTTTAATCCTCAAAACTTTCACATTATATTAATTTGATCATAATTTAAACTAATTCAATAAATCTTAAAATTTTAAAAAAACGCTTGAATATAATTTTCATTTTAATTTGTAATAATTTATTAATATTTTTTTAAACATGTGTATCTAATAATAAAACTGTCGAAATTTAGAATTTTTTTTAATACATTGCATGCTCTTTGGCAGGTATTATAGCATCCCAAAGTGAACTACAAAATACCACGTGAAAAAACATTCAAGGAGCTAACAGATTCTCAAATCCCAACTCTTTTATATTATACTATCACCAGCTTGTCTAGCACAATGAAGTATTACATCTCTTAAATAAGACCAGAAGTTCAAATCTAATATTATGAATAGAAAAATTAAATTTGAAGAATCATACTATAATGAAATTCTGTAAATATACTATCCGAAGTAGTCGAATAATAAATCAGACACTGATAATTAAATAAAATATATATAATTTATACAAAACTGATCTTCAAACTATTTATACTTCTCTAATAGTGTAAACAGGCTTAACCAAAAAAAGAAAAAGTAATCAGTCGTTTATTCATACAAGGTTAGTGTAAAAGGGTGCAATCTCCACCTGAGTCTCTGAGAAGCAAGCAACCTTCAATTCTTTCAATTCAATTGGTCACTATGGTACAATAAATAATGTCCAGCGAGAACAGGTTTCAATTTGCAGGAGTTTTTATTACCGACACAAGGGAGGATACCTGCAATTTTCTACATACAGGAACTGGAATTGAATTTCTTCTATCCATTTCCATTTGGTAACTTCTTTTTCCTTACCCCAGAGTCAATAAGTTTTTTTACTGCACATGTATCTAAATTTACCAAGATCAGCAAGCTTTGTTATCTTCATTGTAAAACACAAGCAAATCCCTATGTTCAAGCATATGATTCTATGTACACTCTGCAACCAAAAACAAATGTTCCCTGCAAAAACATCAACCATTACAAAGATGAATGGAAATACTTGAAAAATCAGAGAATTTTAGTCGAGGTTAAAGGAACTCACTGCTGGGAAGTATCTGAATTTATTTACCCCAAAGAATGCCGGAGTGGAGGCAGTCCTATTGATGCCAATGGCATGTTACGAGTAGATGTTCTTCCTACAGATTCTGATCTAATAATGTTCTATTGGAAAAATCGTGAAACTTCCAGGTATAATTGCTCTGCTTCGAATGGTTTCGACACATATCCGTCCATTCCACACCGTAGGCATTCCTCGTGTGTAGCTTGGATAACGTCTGCTGTCATAGCCAAGATGGGTACATGCCAGTTTAAAACATTTTTACAAGCATCTATTGATAGTTCTCCAAATTGAATACGATTATTGATGTTCTGTTCCACATTCCGAATTCTCCTTGTAGCTTCGAACCTGTAGGGAGAAGAAAAGACTGTCTGCTATAAACATGACTGAGTTGGAATATGATAGATTGAGAACTAATGGCGTGCAAACTGCAGCCATCAAATAAAAAACCATTGCAAAAGGCATCTTCAATGCTCATTGCATCAACTAGAGAATTCCCCCCCCCCATTTTGTTATCTTATTCTGAAGGTTTCAAAACTCGATTTCCAGATCAAAATTGCGTAAGAAAGTTCTAGAATCTAAATGCAAAATGAGTTTAAGTACCCATCCATTTCCGGCATTTGGATATCCATGAAACAGGCGTCAAATTGGTGAGGTGGTGTAAGCAGTTCAATAGCAGCTATTCCTCTCGTGGCACTAATCACATCAGCTCCATATTTTCTCAAAGCACCAGCAGCAACTTTCAGGTTCACATTGTTGTCATCTACAATTAGAATTTTTCTCCCAAGAAGAAGATTCCGAAGAGACAAGCTTGGTAACTCCGCATTACGGGGATTCCCTTTGTTCCCAATGCCCATAGCTCGTTGTAGAGATGCCGCTAACATGCTAGCTCTCAACGGCTTTGAGATGATGGTCAAGTCACAGGAACCAGTAGTAGTATTTCCTCTGGAAGAATTTATGGAATTAGAAAAAAGGAATACCTTTGGAGGAGTACCGTGACCTATTTTCTCCAAATTATTGATGAATAGACCCAAACTGTTTAGATCTCTATCCCAAACTTCTTGTTCGATGAGAACCATGTGGATTACATTGTTCATAGATAAACCTTGTTTCCAATGAGAAACTACTTCAACATGAATTCCCAGACGTTGAATATGATATGTTGACACCTTGGACCGGACAGGTCTAGGATCCATAACTAATGCTCTCATCCCATGAAGCTCTGAGGAAACAGTATTAGACTGGCTGTTGATTTGTTGGCTCTTGAACTCCTTTGGACTAGAGCTGCCACTGGCAAAAACAGCAGTAAATGTGAAGGTGGAACCAACCTTGGGAATGCTAACAAAACCAATTTCTCCTTTCATTAGACCAACCAAACATTTGCTTATGCTTAATCCGATGCCCGTGCCTCCATGTGTTCGGGAAATAGAAGGGCCAACTTGCATAAAAGGAGTGAAAACACGAGGCTGTGCTTCTGGGGGGATTCCTTCTCCTGTATCTTCAACTGATACAATAAGATTAATGCTGTCAGAGGAAGGATGCACGGATCCTTCTTGACCGAAAGTTCTAAATGCTTTCCAGCTCTGACGTCTATCTGCAACAGGGAAACCACTCAAGGTGTTCTTTGATGAATATTCTGTCTCAACTTCTATTGAATCAATTACCTCCTCCACAAGATGAACAGTAACAATGATGTGCCCTTTCTCAGTGAACTGACAACAAATAAGTGAATTATAAATTTATTGATATCAAAGCATAGTTCAGATAAAACTGAACTGAAATTAAAATAGAAAAAAATTAAATAAATCTCAAGTCTCAACAAGTTTTATATACATTAAAGAATTACCAACCACATACTTTAATCGAGTTTCCCATGAGATTGGTGATGATTTGTCTAAACCTCCCGGGGTCACCAATTAGCATCTCAGGCACTCTATCAGAAATGTAAACAGCCAACTGCACTCACCCACATTCTCATTAGACTCTTGGATGAACACCGTATGAAGGGTAAAAGATAAAGAAATGAAAGATGAGAGGAGATGGAGGAAATCAGATAAGTTAGTGTCTCACCTCTACTCCTTTGTCCTGAGACTTCCCAGAAAATAGTGACAACACATCATCCAAGATGGCTCGTAGATCAAACTGCACTTCCTCAAGCTCTAGCTTACCAGATTCAATCTTAGCCTGATCCAAAACCTCATTTATGAGTGCAACCAGTGCCTTTCCACTAGCTTGAGCAGTTCTGACATAATCTAGTTGTGTAACATCTAAAACTGTGTCCATAAGCATATCCAACATTCCTGCAAAAATAAAAGCATCTCATTTCATGGCCAAGAAAACCATATTCTCTGCTAATTATTTAATTTAATTCTATAAAGTATAATCATAAAAAGCTTGAAGTAACATCAGAGAAATAACAGAAGTTTTCGAGACTCACCAAGAACACCATTCATTGGGGTTCTGATTTCATGGGAAACGGTAGCAAGAAACTGCAAAAAGGTCACAAATAATTAGGACCAAACGTCCATGACAGGTTGAAAGGCTTTAGAGTATAAATCAGATTATCATATACCTGAGATTTGGCAACATCAGCTGTCTCAGCCTGTTTTTTGAGCTCCATCATCTTATGGCAATCATCTTCCACCCTAGCAATTCGATTAACAGTTGCATGGAAGATATGCCCAACAAGTAATGCAATTACAAGGACACCAATTGAAGTAGTTATTGCAAACCATGGCCATGGAGGCTTTTGCTTAAACCTATATAAAGAACAAACTTAGTCCATGTATATTCAAGTTCTTTATCTTTGACATGCTTTTAAGAACTTAGACCCTCTTGTAGATTGGGTTTATGGACATAAACTAACGGCTGGAATGTCACTTGCAAAGCTTGATTTACTAGAATCCTAGGTGTTCAAGGAAATAGTAGAATTTGGTGAAAAATCAAAAGATAGGTCCACATTGAAGAGAAGCTGAACCCCAGGGCCCATACTAATAGATAATGCAATATCTATGGATTACCTGCAGCGCATCTCGTGCTTTCTAAAAGGATCTCCAAAATTAAGATGACTGACGTGCTCCAACCCATCATTGGATGCATTAGAACCATACATACTGATAGGGTAAGACTGATTTGATGTGTCAAACACATTCACAAGAATTGTTTGTTTACTTGAAAGCTGTTGTAGCAACTTCTCCACTAGTGACTCAATATCGAACACTCCACCAAGATACCTGATAGAGCAATGAGGTAGTATATATCTTCTCTTTGACTATCATGAAAGAGATCATCTTATCAAAGCTGCTAAGCATCACATTAGGACCCTCTTGTTAAAAAGAGATCATCTTTTGTCTCCACATATGGGAAGCATAATGAAATTATCTTCCCACTAATTTTCATAAAACAAGGAGACACTGGTTAATCATTCCAATAACTATTGTTTGTACCAAAAACATACCCGTCAGTTGCTTGAATCCTCTCGTTAGGAGTTGCATTTGAGGAAAGATCCCTCTTGTAAACTGCAAATGTCAAAATAACTCCAAGACGGTTTGTTTTGAGTAACCTAAAAGGAGCTGTTAACACTCCTTTTCCAGATCTTCTGGCACGCAACACGTTCTGACGATCCTCCTGTTGATACAAAATAAATTAAAAATATTTTAACTCAACTAGAGTTAAAGGTCTTAATAGATTGAAAATTCTTCATATTCCTCCAAACTAGGAAGTGATAAAAATTAATTCTTCAGTTCTGTTATGCTTAATAAAAATTAAGGTTTCTCTTCTATGCTATTTTCTTTAATCAGAAATAGCACACCTTTCGGTGAAATTTATCGCTATGGACCATGGCTAGTAAAGGAATCACAAGAAACTTTTTAGAAAATAGTGAAGGAACTCACCTTTCCCGACAGCATATCAAGAGAAACTACATGTGAAACGATATCCTGGGCAAATATAACAGGAGCATATTCTTCCTGAATTGGTGATGGTTCAAGATTATTCATCCTCTTAATAGTCCAACCCTGTTGCCTCTCGAATTGTTCTCTTTCGGAGTGGAGCACCCTTACGGCATATGCTACACCACTTGTGAGGGGCCTCTCGAAAGCAGTTCGTTCGGTGTACCTCGCAAAAGTCCTCTACAGGTTCTTAAAGTGAGTTCCCTTTGTCGACTAAAACACAAGTGATCATAATTTATAACGTGAAACACACAAATCTCTTTTTTCTTAAGCTGAAATAACCATGCTTAAACAACATTCTGATTTGAGCAGAACAAAAATGAAACACTGAACAATGGCAATCAAGCACATAATTATCTATCTCAAGTAGTTCTATGATCCTATCTAAAAGTTCCAAGAAGACGATACGGCTTACCTGGTCAATAGCAGACGGGGTTTTCCCATGGTGGAAAGTTGAGATCAAAATAGACATAGCATGGATATGGTTCATGCTTACATTAAACTGATCCTGCAACATCCTAGCTCTCTCATCGCACATGCTCGCTAGCGTTTCCTTGCGCTTTTCGGTAGCAAGAGTGCTCATATAACAAAAGATCCAAACAGAAGCCAAGGTCCAACCAATTATCCATGAAAATATGAGCTTTCTCCACCATGACTTGCAAACTCTCTTGGAACCAATATACTGGTAGTACTGATGGTGCATCCTGAAGCTGAAGCTTGAGATTTCATCCCAACATTTGAACCACATCTTGCTACCACTATCACCAAGGAGGACACCCTTGAGGTCCTTAAATCCACCATTAATGAACCAATTCATCGAGATCGTCGATGCTATCCAGCAACATAACATCCAAACCAGATGCCCCACCTTTAAACCAAACCCAAAAACATGGAGCAGATTCATCCAAGAAACAGTAACCAACTAACAGCTAAGTAAAGGATATTCAGTAACTCAATTGTCAAATCTATAAAAACTGTCGAGTAAAATCTAACATCACCAGAAAATCTCAAGAACCTTGGAATAAGAGAATAAATAAAATTAAAAAAAGTGCAGCAAACTCCAAATTGACTAGACGGCAGAGATTGATTGGAAGGTGTTGTACCCGTGCGGGAAAGAGAAAGGAACAAAATATGCAATCTTATCTGTGAAATGTAAGATATTCATATAAGACCTGTAATTGAGGAAGATGATGAATTTTTTTTTCACAATAACCATAAGAAAGAAAAAGAATCCCTCAAGCTTCTGAGTTTCAATTTTCTAACAAGCACCCAAAGTCCAGAACAAGAAGAATGAGCCAAACTTGTCCAGAAAACAAAGGATTAAAAAAATAGATATCAAATCAATGAAAACTTAGCTAAAGATAATCTTTCCTCGAGGTAAAAGAATCTGACAGGAAATCCTTAAATTCCTAAAATCAAGCAGCAAAGACAACAATCAAAGATGCGGGTATTAATGTTGGACCCAAATAACATCCCACTATAGAGATCTATGAAGCTAAAATAAGATTTAATACAAAGTAGATCTTATTATGTACTTAAAAGATGACACTAAGAATATGTGAAAAAAGAAGAGAGGAATATAGTTGTAGAATGTCTGCTACCATAAGCCATTATCTCTATCCATATCATTCACGACACCCATAAACTAATAATAATTCATTGCTTACAAAAGTAATTTTTTTTTGAATTAATTTTTTCTTACAAAAGTTATTTTAACTTAAATATCAATCCTCTAATTATTAAAAAAATTAAGTTATTCAAGTTACTATAAATTATTTGAGTTTTATTTTATAACTCGACTTGAACGGAGCCAACATAAAGTGAGGAGTGTCAAGTGACAACCCAAAAACATTTGGAAAAAAAATCTTTATAAACTTAATATAAAAATATTTTTAAGAAAATAAAATTAATATATTTTTAAATGAATATTGACACGGTTGATTACATATTAACACTCATTATTCATTTTTACCTACTTAAAAAGACAATTTTCATACAATTTTTAAATTTGACACTCCAAAATATTTTTCTCTAAATTTGACACGTCAAATTTATTTTTCTAGCTCCGTCCTTAGACTTGAATTTAAAATTTTTTTTCGAGTCAAACCAATTGAAGTTGAATTTTTTCGAGTTAAATTAAACAGAAAATCAATTTATAAGTCAAATCGAATTTTACTCTCTCTTAATCGGATCTATGTATTTCTCCATTTCACTTCACCGTATAAAAAATTCATTAAGCTAAGGTAATTACAAAGTAATATATGTTCTAAATACTCTCAATCATTTGACATTGAACACCCAATCATACTTGCAGTTGTTGATGCTCGAACCTTTGACCTCTATGAACAATTACAATTCTTTTAACCATTGAGGTAAATTGGTTCGTGCCCATATAAAAAAATTCAAAACTTGAAAGTTGGATGTCTTATTTTTTTGGGTAAAATACACGTTTAATATATAAACTATTTTTTTTGCTCTACTTTAGTACCCACGCTTTATTCTTTTCAAAACAATATTTAACATTTAGTTTATGTTTCATTTTGGTCCTCACTTTAAAAACTTATGGTGATGTTGATATGTCATCATAAGGTAATGTTATATCATCTTTGAAAAACTAAAAAAATATCACATCAGTATTTCTGTTAATTTTTTAACGACGAAATATTAAATTGAAACTTAAACTAAATATCAAATATGATTTTAAAAAATTAAAGTTTAAGTACCAAAATAAAATAAAAATAATAATTTAGATATTAAATATGTAATTTTCTCTTTTTATCACTGGCTTCAATCTAGGATTCGAACACGAAACCCCACAAGCTTGTAGGCTTAATAAAATACATTTCCCTTTGTTATTTTTCAGCTAACTTGCGACTTTGTGCACCCTGTAATGTGCCAGGCAATTCCACACTTGGAACTTAATTAATAAAATAATTAACTAGTAATACAGACAATTTAGATTTGTTAATAAGCAAAAACTCATGTTTGCAACAACAGACACAAGCCTCAATTAATTTATGGGGTCGGCTGTGGTTAGGCGAAAGGTGCAATGTTCGTTTTATTGACCTAATATATATAATAATAATAATAATAATAATAATAATAATAATAATAATAATCGATTACTTTATATCATAAAAGAAACAAATGAATTTATTCATATTAAAGCAACAAAGACTTTGATGATATATTAAATGAATTCTATATATATATATATATTGTCTCACAAGTGTTAGGTCATTGCGGGCCATGTTTTTTATCTAAAAAAAGAAAATGTTTAAAAATCAATTCAGATTGTAATGTTTCAATTCATAATTTTTTTTTGTTGTATCTCGGTTTCAAGGTTCTGTCTTGATTAATTTGGACCGACAGTGTTGTACGCCGATTTTGGTGGATGAGTCTCTCAACAGAGATTTTCTGCATACACAAGAACTTTTGACTCGAGACATTACTTAAACGATATCAAGTTGCTTACCACTTGAATGAACCATGTTAATTTGATTTTATATTTAGTTTATAAGTAAAAAACAGAAGTTATTAGAATAAAGCTAATTTTATTTTTTTCTTATTAAATTTATAATTAGCTATTGATGATGTTCCAAAGCAATTTATATCTTTTTCATATATGATTTTAGTCAGAGTTCCAAAAGCAATGACCAAACATTTCCTGTATATATTAAACAAAATAAACTTTAAAAAAAATCAGTTTAGGTTAAACGTGCAAAGGTTGGAAGAAAAAGGGGGCGGAAATTTTGAATGTGGCACCAAGAGGATTATTAATTTATTCTCATAAACCCTATCAAATGTCATAGTTATTATCAGAAACAAACTAGGCGAGATTACGGCATCGCCACCCAAAGAAAGGGCTGACTAGCTGCTGTCGTCAACAGGGAGGCGGAGGAAGTTCCCTAAAGTAGGCAACTCTCCATTAACCTGAAACTCCAATCATCTTCCACGTTTAATATTTTATTTTACGGTAAATTACATGTTTAGTATTTAAATTTTAAACTATTACTTTTGTGTTGTTTTGATATTTTTTAAATCATACATAGCGTTTATTTTTTATTATGTTTTAGTACATCGCCGTTAAAAATTTAATGAAATCGTTATACGTGACATTTTTTATGAGTAAATTACATCATTCATACTCGTTTATATTCTCACTCTTATTTTGGTCACTGAAATTTAATTTTTTTTTATATTTAATTATTTAATTTCCAAACTACTCTTAATTTAATCACTCTAACTTTCAAATTTATTTTTTTATTTTAATTATATATTAATAAAATAATAATAAAAAATATCATGTTACAAAAATTATTAATAAAATAAATTAGAGTAATTAAAAAAGAGCAATTTGAAAGTTGAGTAGTTAAATTGGAAATTTTTAAACTTTAATGACTAAAATAAGAGAGAAGATAGTTAATTGACGAATAATGTAATTTACTCATAAAAATACCACATTCAAGAGTTTCGTTTAGATTTTAATGACGGGATATTAAAATGAAACTTAAAATAAATATTAAACATGATTTAAAAAAAAATAAAATTTATGTACGAAAACATAACAAAAATAATAGTTTAAGCATTAAATGTATAGTTTACTTGTTGTATGTAAATTTAATTGTGATTACATTCACAAACGGAAGATAAAAATTCAGAAATATTAAATTATTTATGATTGAATCCAACACGTCAGTATCGTGTGGTTCAATACAAACCATCCGTTATGCTGACGTGGAAAGAACCAATGTCAGAGAAATTGGATTATTAAAATTATAAGTTGGATATTTTTTTAAATCTAGCTGGATACAATAATAGTATTGTTCATATACTTTCAATCACTTTGAAAATAAATATTTATAGTTATATATATATATATATGATATTCAAACATAAAAGATAATAATAATTCTTTAATTATTAAAGTCGATTGATTCGTATTATAAATTATAGATTATATTAATGAGTTTGGGTTTATATTAATTTTTTTTATTAAAGGGGTTATATTAATCTTAAACGTTGATATTTGTGCATAGAACATTTCAATAGTGGACCAACTCGCCCTAATTCACGTAAGATTTCCATGCGTCGTTCATAGATTGGTCGGAATTTGCCAAACCTTATTCTCCTTTTAGCCTAAAAAGCTAAAAATAATACTAACACTAATTGTAACATCAAAGCAATATTAAAATAATTTGCACTATCATCAAGCATATGTTACTGTTAGACCCAATAATCTCATATATTTAACCTTATATAAGTTGTTGAAAGATAAATTTTAATTACCACGATTATTGACGATTTTTTTAATTTAAATAGAGAATAATAATTAACGATTTTAATGAGTTGAGAGAAAAAGAGAGCATGTTTTAAGTTTTCTTTCAATCATGCTTGATAGTTTATATATTGAATCTTAATATTGGCATTAACCTAAAATTATGCTTAATACATGTGTACTAGTAAGACAAATAGATATAATTGTAGACACCCATTTTCTTATTATTTTTTTCTTTTTTTCAAAAAATAGAAATAACAAGAGTTACTCTCCTAGGAGGACTCTTCCACCTCCATATCTTTTAAACTAACAACCACCATATCCCATGAAATCCAGTATCCCACTACAACTCAACTTCCCCAAGAATCCCATACAATTTGGACTCTCACCATCATCTCTCATACATCCCTAGTTAAACCCATCTTCACACCTTGTAACGGAGAGAAACAATTCTGAAAAGAAAAACAGCAAAACACACAGAATTTTGAGAAGAGAAATCTGTGCAAAGAAAAAGAAAGAGCTCTATAGATCGAGGGAGGCAAAACAAAAGCATCAAAGTGGCCAACGAACTTTTAAGTCTTGAATGAGTTAGCGTTCAATATTGAATTTCTAGACTTGAAAAAGGT